TATGAAACTTTACTTCTGGCCTGGCATGAGAAACATGATTTACAGATTCTGTAATACATGTGTATTATATCAGAAGAGGTTCCCAACAAGGATGATTGAGTCTTTATTTCCTACTATCCTGGTAGAGTCAGGGAGTTGAATCCACTTGGATCTCATCACCATGCCATTAGGCAAAGGAGGGATGAGATACATATTGAACATGAGAGACAATTTTTCTGGCAATGTCGAGGCAAAGACTCTGAGAAGGACGATAGTCGAGTAAGTGGCTGACTGGATAGAGGAAATTTATCTCAGGTATCCCTTCATCAGAAAGTTTGTCTTAGACAAAGGATCTGAGTTCAGGAATGACATCGTAAGAAGAACCACTCTCAGACTGGGTGTCAGAATCCGATATGTAACTACTTATCGTCCTCAATCAAATGCGTCAGTTGAGAGAGGTCACAGAACGCTTAAAGATTCGTTCGCTAAATGGTGTGACGGTAACCTCAAAAATTGGCCAAAAGTATTGATAGCTGCAGTTTATGCTGACAACATTACTGTCAAGAGAACGACTGGTTATGCTCTGTTCACTCTGTGGTATGACAGATATGCCACCTTACATATTGAGAGTATAATCAAGACTTGGTCGAGTCAAGAGAGTGACAGAGAATAGCTTCTTCATATCAGAATGAGACAGATATCAGAGGTTGATGAAGCAGTAATGGACATTGCAGAGAGAATGACAACTAGCAGATTATCAGATCAAGAGAGGAGGAATAAGAAGAGATATATAAAGAAAGAGAAGCTGAAAGTTGGGGACGTTGTCCTCCTATTTAACAGTTCTCTCGACACTTAGTGGACTAAACGGTTGAAGCTCAGATGACTCAATTCTTATAGAACCACAGGTAAAGTAGAAAGCAAAGTCTATGAGATATCAAAGATGGATAACTCAAGAGTTCATGATATGGTATCGTAAAGATCTTCAGATACCCTGACTTGGTCCCTACAATGACTTCAAAGAAAGGAAAGAAAAATCAGCCATCCAGTAAGAGAGCTGCTTCAGAGAGCTAAGAAAAATATAATGAGATGGAAAGGTACAACAAAGACAATAACTTCAACAAATTTTGATTATTCTTGCATTGTTAGTTCAGTAAGTCAATTTTCAGCATGTCAGATTTTATCACAAAGGACTTAAGATAATTTTTTTGGATGATCTGCATTCGTTTCTGCATCTGAGTTGATTTTATTATTTGCTATAAACGATGAAATCAATGAGATTAAAGTGTCATGAATGTTGAGCTGCAATCGATCCACGAGCATCAGATCACTGAGTGGGGAGTGACTGTAAAGTGCAGTTGCAGTGATATCGAGTTCAGAGAACTTGTGGCTGTGATATAAGAGTAACCAGTGTTGATTTCATGATGAGGAGAAAATCTGACGGGTATAAAAGAAGTTCAACTCTACCTGACTATAGAGTTGCCAGTAGAGGGACTCCGTGTCTTTTGACTAAGTTGCCTGTCCAAGAGAGTTATCAAGAAGATGGGCATAAAGAAGTTCAACCTTGCTTGACCAGCGAGTCATTGGCTTGGGGACTTCGTGTTTCTTGACTAAGTTGCCTATCTTCTGTCTCAGATGAGGGAAGGGACCTCTCTAGGATCAGCATCTCAATACTTCCTCGAGGCTAACGGGGGGTCTCTTGGGAGTATTCTCAGATGAGGGAAGGGACCTCTCCGAGATCAGCACTTTGTATTTCCTGAGGTTAACGGGGGGCCTCTAGGACGTGCATTGTCGGTTGTCGTTTGTTGTTGTTTAGTGCCTCTTGAGACTGAAGGGATGTCTTTTGAGAAATGTCTGTTCTGTTACCTGGGGCATGAACTGTCTGACTATGGGTATGAGATGTGATGTTTGACTGTTTGTGCCTGGGATTTTCTTCACTAACATAAAGATGTATTGATTGTCGGCAGGGTTGTCAGGCGGGGGCCCCCGGGGGCAAAGCCGGGGTGGGGGTTCGACCCCCGG